GTATATTGATTATTTTTACCTTCTCCATTCCATCGTAAGTCAACTGCCCGCAATGGTGAGTAGAAGTGTAGATAGTAGAACCAACCGTTGTCAATCTAAATCATTATGATTGGTGACCTTTTAGAATAATTATCACGATTGAAACTGTAAGGGAAATTCATCCCTTGTCAGATCTTTATTGTGGTCAAAAATTATTTCTAGTTATACGGTATGATGTTACCGGTTAAGTTGGCTACCGTGACGCGTTTGCTGACGTGGCATCACCGGGTTGAAGTCCGCGTTAGGATACCTATTCATTATTTCGTTGAGACTTGGTCGGAGCGCACCTTCCTCTCACTGTGCTCTAGTGACTGTGTAGCGTCCCTAGTAGGTGAGTTGCAGTGGAGATATAAGATAGGCTAATTCTGTGTTTGTAATTTAGCTTATGAATTTTCTAATAAGTATTTACCGACCCGCTAATTTGAATTGCATAACTGATATAATTAATAGTGTTGTGTATTTATCTGCGTAACTAGAGTAGTTCACCACCATTGTTTGGCAGGATCTGTGTATTGCCTTCAGCATATAGTGTCAACTGTGTATTGCCTTCAGCATATAGTGTCATCAGCGTATTGTGCCTTCAGCAAATTGCGTCCTAAGCTTATTGTGCCTTCAGCATATTGTTTCTTTATAAAGTTACCCATATTTTCAGTTCCGTGTGCCTATTATTCGTAGATATCTGTTCCATGTTATAAATTGTTAAATAGTTGAGAGTTCCGTTAGTCATTATTGTTGTAGTTGTTTCTGGTTAATAGATACTAGTTTATCTGGCTTTCATTTCTCCTTTGTTGAGGTTAGGTGGCAGTCGTGGCGGAAATTTATCGAATCAAATTGGAGTCGTCCTTAACCTGAACCTTACAGAAACACTTTTCATCAAGCTTTACTTACTAAAGCAGCATTTTCAGACACAATTACGTCATCTGGGACTGGGAGCCTGGCTGTTCCCCTGCACCCGATCTCTTCAGCTTTATATATTAAACGATATTTTTCAAGTCACCGGACAAAGTTTTTGGTCACTGGGGGATGAGGGGGGGGGATGATTCCGAGGTATTTGTGATTTGGCAATTATCGAAAAATTGAGCTTTACGTCGATTGAATTGATGTGAGTTAAATCGATTTATTTGAGGAAATACTTGAGGATTGATTGAATTCATGAAAGTCTAAATTTATTTCATAGAGTAGAGTCTATGGTACTCTCTGTTGATTACATCGAGGAAAGTATATATTGGTGAAAGTTTATATTGATTTATTGATTACTGTGAGGAAAGTTTGTATTGATTGCATTGAATTTAGGTGAGTTTGAGTCGTAGTAAGCTTATCATTGAAGTCTGGTAAGCATTGAACCAAGCTCATCATACGTCGATTTTATTGATGTAAGTTGTCTCGTGTTGGAACTTGAAAGTTTTCAGCAGCTGTGCCATAGGAGCTTAAATTTTACTGTGAAGTTGTGGGAGCACCTCTCATTTTTTGTTTTCATTGTCATTGATAACAAGATGAAAGTCGAATATATTATTTCATCAGTCATGCTTATCATTTGCATTCGTGCAACATGTGTCGTGTTGTCTTTTAGCATTAGACTTGGAATTTTGAAGCGTTTTGTAATATATTCAATTTATCAATACTACTTATTCGTCTGTGCACATTGTAGTCATGGAAGGCTAATACTGCATTTCTTTGGTAATACTGTAGAAGTTCCATACAATATGGCCAACAAATTTCAATTGTGCCTAAGACAAATATAATTTTATGGACAAGCATAGTCATTTTATAAAGTTATTCTTATATTACTTCGATTAAAATCCATTTCAAGGCAAAGTTATGTGATAATCTTCCACGACGGTTCTGAAAAACGTGTAATTTTTTTCCTAAATTTTTTTCTTATGAATGAACGAAGAAATAAGTGCAGATAATAATTCTTCTTTTTTAAAAAAAGGGAAAGAATTTAAAACTCTTTATATTCATATCCTGTTAATGCTGAAATAAAATGATAACCATTTTTAATGATGTATTAAAAATGAAATAAAAATGTTTTTAGCAAAACTTAATGTCGGTAGTGAGGCTGCCTTGCCATGGTTAAGACAAATTTTGGGGAATGCATTCGCCATATGGTCAAAACAAAAAATCGCATTACAACATATAGACTAATCATCTATAGCGTTGCGCCGACAGCAGCAAAAAATATAACTCAGTATTCACTGCAGTGAGTGACAGAGAGCGCATTTTCTCGTCGACGAAAACTTGAGGTCACGGACGGACAGATGGACAGAGAGACGGACAGACGGACATGGCGAGCACAATAGTGCATTTTTTCCATAAATGAGAAATTGCGCTGTTTTTGATAAACGTAAATACCTTGCAGTTACGTAGGTGTCCTTAATTATGCCGAGGCTTGTTTGAAGTTCTTTAAACTGAATCTCAAGGAGCTAGAATGGAGCTTCACATCAAACAATATAACTTTCCTATCTTTGTAGTTTTTTAAAGCTAAGATACAACGATTAAATAATTTCATGTTACTGTGTTTTGTAAAGAATTGAGCCTTTGATCCCTTAGCTGCTCTCAAAACTGTAGTCAATTTTCAAAAGAAAACATTTGTTGTATCCCACAATTTATTTTTACCAAACGATATATGTAAATGAACGCCTCGATGTTTCATTTTGTCTAACCTTGATAAAAGAACTAGTCTTGAACATTATATTTTTAACACGCAATAAAGAAAACTACAAACCACTATTGCAATACACCTGAAATGATAGCCTTTGCTCTGCGTGTTGCGTGGAGCTCGCCAGTAAACATGAAGTTAAATAAGTCAAAGTTAAGTTAAATTTCTATTACTGAATAATGATATTGTAATACCATTTTGATGGTATTCAGCTTCTGTAAACCAAATTTTACTGTTCTAAACATTATAATCGGAGAACATAAAGGGGATAGGATTAAAAGAATGGTTGGTGCCTCGAGAAATATTTATTAAAAGTAGCATAACGAAGTGGGCTCATAGCCCGCAAAAATACACAGAAAATATTTAATGATAACAGAAAAATTCTCCTCCTGCTTCGACATCATTCAGGATCATCCATCATTCATGACCCATGGATGCATACTAAAGCTCATCATTTGATATCCTAATAAACTCAATACATCCTTCACGAAATTTAATCGCATTTAGTCAATTTTAGACGACTCCATTTTTCAAGTAAATTGTTTGAATATTTATATATAGTCGATTCGGGCTTAGGTTTTCGCTGGTTCGTCTTCAATTGAATTCAGTAATATTAACAAATTAGGCGAGCATTACATTTTGTCTGTTCCTATGCTTTACACGTCTTCATCTCTGACGTTTGCGCTTAAAAAATTGCCAGTGAATGTTTAATGAATGAGATTTAGTTCGTCTGAATTTTATTTCATCGCATAAATGAAAACAAGGTTAAGTATTCACTTGTAGTCATGTCGAGTCGAGTTGAACTGCATATGTGAAAACATTTCAACATTCATGTGAAATGTTTCTCACATTTGATGAAACTTCATCTTAAAACTAGCCTTCTTAAATCCCAACATTTCGCTCCTTAGGAACAGCAATCTTCTTGCCTCGAAAACTCGTCTCAATATCCTTCAGCCACGATATTTTTTACGAGTACACCAACTAGACTTAATTTGAAGACATATGTAAAATTTGCTTCGCATGTAAACACGGTGATTGAAATGTATTTCATTGCATTTGAAAATTATTTGACCATTTCTCTCATAATATCTTCTGTTTATGTCTGCGGATGGTATACGTCGAATTGATCTCTCACTGCAAATAAATACCTCGAATTCCAGCACGAGACGCTTGAAAGAAGTAAAGCTCCCTTAGGTTCTTTAAGAAAAGTGAAAATAGATGTCTGTAGATGATCATTAATTTAATAATTCATCACCGACATGGTAGTTCCTTACGATATGCGATAGGCAACACGCAAATATTCTCCGTATCTAAGTAAAATTTTAATTTTTAAATATGATTTTAATTTTGAGAGCAAAACGACAGTTATACTAGCTTTCCAGTGACGCAAGGAACACGCAATACAGCGCTAGTCCGACCCAAACATTACATTCTGTGTTCTTCAGCCGTGAGATGTTCGAATGCATTTGCCTAATATGGTGCTGCTGCTGCAGTACGCCGACGCTGCAAGATTTCTGGAAACGCAAAGATGCGCCGGGCAAAAGAACGGGCAAATTATCTTTTCGTGGCCACATGTTGCCTTTGCCGCTTGTTGCTGTCATTGCTCATGCTGCTGCCGTTCGTTGCTGTCATTGCCGTTGCTGTCTTTGCTAATGCTGCTGTTGCTGACTTTGCTATTGCTGCTGTTGCTGACTTTGGTATTGTTGCTGTTGCTTACTCTGCTATTGCTGCTGTTAATTGCTGACTGTTCTGCAGCTGCTGTGGCTGCATAAGCTGCGACTACATGAGTATAGGAGTTGAACGATCGTAGATGATGGGAAGTCACAAATTCCGTGTTATTTTTGAGCTATCAGGGCGTTAATCATGGATACTCTGTATTATTTAATGAAGTTTACAGAAACAAGTGCACTCATGCACTCGCCCAGACTTAATATTTGTGTAGCGGTTCTGTGCTACTCTGTTTTATACGAGCCCATTCCTGCCGCTCGCAGTGAATGAACCCGAATTTTGGCACGCTTGAGACACAGAGAAGAGCAATCAAAACATCGAGATAGTGCGTACGCAGATATAATATCTTATGAACATTTAGACATTAATTCATATTTCAACAAAAACGTTTGGTCAAAACCTCTCTTAATGCTACGCTCTCGTAAAATTTACCGTAACAAATTTTCTTCAATTTTCCCTAAATGCAAGGTACTTCTCGACTCGAGTCACTCACTAACCAGTGGCCAGAGTATTAAAAAAAAATTACTAGTGAATTATTATGAACACCAAAATTGAATGAAAATTTGAAGTCTTTAATGAGAATATTTTCTTCTATTTGAAATGCCCAGTATTTATGCGTCCTTCAAAAACATCCAGATTCGAAATATAATTTTGTATTTTTATGGTTGCAGGCGTTGATGGATCAAGAATTCAACGGAATCAATTATTTGTGAGCGCATTTTGGGTACTGGCAGATGCCTAGTATCATAGCTCTCTAATGTTTTATTTAAATGGGTATTTCATAATATATATATTTAATAATTAATAAGAGGAATTAAATATGGATTGTCTTTTCAAACTCCCATGTTCCTTTACCACACCAATTTTTTTAGTTGCATTTGGGAAATAAGTTTTTCATTGAGGTCACCTCAAATATTATGTTTGTGATACCCATCTAATATTTTGTATATTACACTTAGTGATTACCAGCTGTTATATTAAATAATTAAGGCTTTTAGGATTTTAATTATCGTTCGTCCTGGTCAGGTTAACTCGTCTTGGACGTTTCTCAACTCAAATTCTGGCAGTGACAAGGGAACCAATGAAGCCCTCTAACAACAGAACTGATAACAGAAACTCTCTATACCCGACGATGCATTAGGTATCACTTTGAACAGATATTATTTCATACCGGCACATCTCTTAATTGATGCTGCCTAGATTGTTGTTGAAAAGAACAACCTTGTACAAAAATACTGGGAACGCTACCTGAATTTGGCCTAATTTAAATGGGATTTGTCCCGACATATCAACACCGACTTATCGTCCCGACATATAGTTCAGACATTAGATGTCCCGACATATCGTTGATACATTAGATATCCCGAAATGTCGTTCAAACATTAGATATCCCGACATATCGTTGAGACATTAGTTATCCCGACATATTGTTCAGACATTAGTCGTCCCGACATATCGTTGAGACATTAGTTGTCCCGACATATTGTTCAGACACAAATTAATGGGGCAACACCTACAGGAAATCATACGCAAGTCTTGCTGGCATATCAATTAAGCCATATTTAGACGTAACTGAGGTGCGATAGTTTCGAAGACTCGTCGCTGGCTCCGCCAGCCAAAGGTTCTTCCTCGCTTACAAGCTTGTCGTTAATGGTCGTCGGATCTTCGTCGTCAACAGATCGTTTGCCCAAGAATTCCGACACTCGAGAACGAGATCTTTTACCAAGAAACTCGGATGCTCTCACGCGCTTTGTCGAAAAGTCGTATGGATTTATTAGCCTTTTACCCCAATATTCTGAGATGGAAGCTCGCTTACCGTATAATTCTGATGGACTTGCTCGCTTGCCAAGAAATTCGGACACCCTTGCCTTCTTCATAGGCATAGGGTCGGGTACACTACGTTTGCCAAGAAATTCCGACACTCTGGGCCATTTCCCAGAGTATTCAGACGCTCGCGTTCGCTTACTCGATGCTTCCGAAGGAAGGCGCTTGCCAAGGAACTCAGACACGCGTGCTCGTTTGCCCAAAAATTCCGAAATTCGTCCGCGTTTTCCAAGAAATTCGGATATTCTCGCTCGTTTGCTGGGCGTTCCGATTTCCTCTTTTTCTTTGTATCCTTCTTCTGCCCGCTTGCCAAGAAATTCAGAAACCCGAGCTCTTTTGCCAAGGAATTCCGAAATACCGATATTTCCTGGGGTGTTTCGTTTGCCCAGAAACTCGGAGCCATGAACGCCACTACCACTGCTCGAAGGGTCATTAGTGAAGAACCGAAACTTGTTGCCGGGATAACTCGAGCCCATTCTTTTCCCAAACAAATCGCCTCCAAATCTACGTGACAGAAGATAATTGTACAACATTCTTGCTTGACTGCGCTCCTCGGGTCCCGTCCATTTCTTTTCTAATGGCAAACCCGTTGCAGAAATTTCGTTGCTCTCCCGCGACCAGTCGGCGGCACCGCCATCTTGATAGTACTCTTCTGATGACCCCAAATACCGCGGAGCTGCCGAGTAAGCTGGCTGAAACTCCACCGCTTCTGAAATACAAAATTGATTATAATTAACTTCAGCTTCAACTGCAATTATTTAGCTGTTTTGGAGCATAAAGTATCTAATATTCGTTACTTCACAGATCACGTTCGCAAAGCCAAAAATGTAAATATGAAATCGTAAATTTTATAAAATGTTTTCTCCTCGCATATTCCAATGGCTTGCCATACGATTCATGTACAAATCAGAAATACGTCTCTTATTTAAATACAGTAATACACAGTACAACATAGTATAACGTCTCTGTTCCTCGAGAGTCACCTAATTGAGAGCTGGAGGCGGCATGTGGAGCGAGGAGTAGCGTCCAGATCAGCGCTGCCACGAGACACAGCGACGACGGTCGCTTCATTGAGGGACCCACAGCGGGCGCGCTACGCAGGCCTCGCTGGTCCCCCCTTCCTTGGGACGTTTTTAAGCGTCCGCTGTCAGCCGAGAAGAAGTGGCTGGCAGATCTGACTTTTTGGTGGACACGCGTGGCCTTGGCTTGCGGTACTGGCTTCGTCTCGCTTCTGGCATACCATGCCTGCCACATCTCACTGCTGCCACGTGCTCTGATGGGTAGAAATTGTAAACATTTGAGCATGGATGGGATAATATACATCTGGGACATTTCATAGAATTATGCTTTTCTAAAAGCAATAGACAATTATCCGTAGAGACAAATAAATTATATGATAAGCTAATCTAATCGATTTGTTAAATGACCGTTGGTTTCCTTTATATTGTCGAAAGCTACATGATGCAGAATTGATATTATCAGAAGCACAACAGATTCGTCAGGCTAAGATTCTCCTGAAAGCAGGGATAACTCGCTTGGAACTCGCGCAATTGCCGTACGAAATAGTATCAAGTTGTATCGTCATCAAAATACCGGGCTAAAAGTCTTACATCGATCGAGTGGCCTCCGGCAATCTGTGTTTCAATTTCTATAGGGTTCATTTCACGCCATGAATGACTTCACTTTCAAGTACGCTAAGTGCTCCTGCATTAGAATGCCTTAGTGTGCTGGTAAACGGCCTTTCATGATCCTAACGATGCTAGCTTCTATATAAATCGCAACCCGATCTATGCAGAAAGATTTTAGCAGACCGTACTTGTGACAACCATCAAGCCTGGGTTTGGTCCACCACTTCTTGCTCGGACCCAAAATCAAGCATGGGAACCGGATTGAAGCGAGTCTTGCAGCTCCGGCCTGGCCATCAAACCCTCGTGCAACTTCTCCAGGCAGACGGACATGGGAGGGAGGGGAAGGTGAGATATGCGACGATTCTGACGAACAAACTTCAATTGATTTACCACCAGTTCTCCAATCTAGCACTTTCCTCCTTTAGTCTGCGTCTTTAAACCAAATGTCTACGTAAGAATAATGAAGCTATTATGACAGGGAAAAGTTTGACAGTGAACATCGTGACTATGAAGTGTTCATGCAGGAACAACGTGACCAAGCAAAAACAGATTGGCTATTAGTTAGCGACCCTTGAAAAGCTTCCTGTACCCAACTCAACCACCAACTTCTGCTACCGCATTTCATGGATTACCGGGAACTGCCTTTCGAATCTAATAAACTGCTCCTGTCTATAGAGGCCGTCAATAGAACAGTAGATGTAAATCCATTATTTCCTTCCATTAAGTTTGTGACTTTTGAAAATCTTTAAAAATAACATCTGTTACCGTTGACGTGGAATAAAATACGCGCGGTTAATGCACGCAAGCAAGCGATGGGAACGGTCGAAGCTGAGTCGCTGTCTGTCTGTTGTTCATCAGAAAATAGCTCCGGCGACACTATCGTCGGTTGTTTGGTCTCCCATAAGTTAATTTTTACTCGTATGAATAGTCGTGATGAATTTGTGATGAATATTGGGTGATGAGCTCAGTAACCCCTAAGTATGGTTTGCTGCTGTAACTCAACTTAATATAGCTAGATGATTTGGTCCACAGTCCAGCTCGCTGGAATAGATATGTTTCGTTAATTTTATTTGTTTAGTGTCGCACAGTTGTGCCTTCCTCATTCGTTGATTAGGAGACAACGATCAGGATTTACATGATTACGACTGCAACTCTGACAACCATTTTTACAACAATATTCAGGTCACCGTAAATTACTTCTTTCGTCAAGAAGGATGACCCGGTAGAAATAAGTAAAGAAAATATCGGTCAGCACTCAACGGCGGATCGTGCACTGTAAGAATAATCATATAATTTAGATGTTGGAATGTGAATATGAATGACTAGAGTATGAATGGGTCAGCTCATTTCTCGGTGCGATGAAAGGAGGCTCAGATCTTGAAGTTATGGTGTGGTGTTGGGGTGTCATTACCGTGCAATATAGACAGCATTGAGCTTCAAATAACAAGATTAATAGAGCCATTGTAGTGTAAAAAGAAGGCTATGTGGCCCACGAATACGCGAATAGTTCTTAAATCTCGGGAATGCTGAGATTTGTGTCATGCGATGACCTAATTCGATAATTCGATTCCAACGATGAAAATGCTCCCGAATTTCCTTTCAGTGCCACTGTGTTGATTTATCTCATCAGACATCTGACATGGATATATCGGTAATTTTACGTTATTTCGACTAAATTAATTCATAATTAACGTTTATTTAACGTCCCTTGTCAGGATGGTTGTTAACTTGTAAATAAATAAACGGCGAACATTCCCGATAATTGAACAAGTTTTCGATGAGAAAAATACTGCATTATATTTTTATTTCATCAGCACCGACGTTAAAAAAATATTCAAGAGAAAACTGACTGAATATATTTATCACTGTAAAATCTGTAAAATTGCTCAGCAATTTCGCTTACACAATTTAATGTGAGACTTAAAAATACAGGAAAATTTATTGGCGAACAAATCTGATTAATTCCACATTTCTCAGTAAGATTTTCTTCGATATGAAACGGGTTAATGACCTGGCGAGACAGCTTTATACATTCTTCTACGAAAATATCAGTCGTTTCCACAGTACCTAAAAAATTCATTTCTCTCTCTATGACATTTCTCCAATACATCGCAATCAATTTAAAAGTACAGATTGTTTAGATGGTCTCAGAGCTGGTTCCGATATTTGCGATCCGAGCTTAAACGAACCTACAATTTTTATTGATCTAATCTCAACTGAAAGTTCTTAAAATATCGATTAATTCAAACAGACAAACAGTCTATTTAACAGACAAACTAAAGTGTCTGAATATCACAACAAATATTCGTTCTTTAACGAAGACAATCATTGACGACTGCCTGATCATCACTTTAGACTCATGATGTGTTGCTTCAGTTAGATTTATTTAGCAATATCTAGTAGACATGATATACATTATTTGAACTTGTAGCATTAGAATACATTGCTGTTAAAGTAATAATTTTTGACAAACCTTATATAACGAGCACACACGTGCATTCTTTCTTTATCTGTTAGATTAGCGAGACAGCGCGTTAGGAAGTAAGTATGCGAGATATAGCGAGTGTACGTGTGGGATTTGTAAGACAGCGTGTGAGATTAGCGAGACAGCGTATTAGATTAGGAAGAAAGTATGCAAGATAAGCGAGTCAACGTGTGAGATTCGCAAGACAGCGTGTGAGATTAACGAGACAGTGTGTTAGATTAGGAAGAAAACTTGCGAGATTAGCGAGTGTACGTGTGAGATATGCAAGACAGCGTGNATGCAAGACAGCGTGTGAGATCAGCGAGACAGCGTGTTAGATTAAGAAGAAAGTAGGAAAGATTGGCGAGTCTACTTGTGAGATATGCAAGACAGCGTGTGAGATTAGCGAGACGGTGGGTGAGTTTAGCGAGACAGCGTGTAAGATTTAAAAGAAAGCATGCGAGATTAGCGAGTCTACGTGTGAAATTTTGTAAGACATCGTGTGATATATTATAATATTAGCTACAGTGCGCGTATACGGCGCACAAGCACACAATCAAATCAGATGAACCCAACACTGATTTTAACAGATGATGGGTTGTTAGAGAAGATTTATTGCACCAGAGGCCTGAATCACGCTCTCCATGCATGACTCATCCATGGGACGGGGCGCCTGCTGCACGTCGCGTGTCATGGAGGCACTGGGCTTCAAAGCTCTAGGACAAATGATATAGGCTAGAGCTAATGAGCGAATGATGTAGGCTATAGCTAAACATTACAAAGCGTTGGCCAAGTGTTTCTGTCATCGCTCCTGTCGCTCCAAGCCTAGTTCTATGCAATCACTTTTTAATGAAACGCATTTAAAAATTGCATCATATATACAATGTGATATTCCAATACCATTTGACCTAGTCAGGTCCATTCACGTGTATTTTTCTTGGCAAGATATTGAATTATTCCAACCTAAATTAACCAAGCTATATGTAAAATATACCCGACAAAACACACTTACAGTATAACGTATCCAAATAATAATGTTAATTGTAACTCTGGAAGTCTATTGTATTCCAATGCATCTTGAGTTCTTTCAATTATTATTATCTACTAATCTAATTTTCGCATGTGCGCAGTTATGATGCATTCGTCAAAAGCGTAAAGAAGGTCCATCTTATAATTGTTCTGACTCGCGGTCCCGTTGTTCTGCAATGACATTTGAAGTATTAAATTATTAAGGATCATTATGGAGCTTATGATAACATCACTTAACGAACCTCTCCATCAACTTTATATAATAAAATCATGTTAAGGACCTTTTCATAGAAGTTATTATAACATTACTTTGAAGGCCTTCTTATGATTAAAAGCACTATAATTCCCGAGATATCGATTGCAAAATAATGTGATAACTACTGCGTTTAGTTGGTCAGGGGTAATGTATTAGTTGACTGATTATCCACTGCGCAAAGTGGGTCAGGTTTAATGGATTAGTTGGCCAATGTTATAGCATTATGTAATAATGAGTAAAATTCATTTATATAGCAGCGCGATGATTTGATTTAGTAAAATTAACTCTCTTATTATGCACAATTAACCAATGATAATTTTCCATTATTAACACTACTATAAAATAGTTTAACTGTTAAAAGGGCTTCCAGCCCCTAAAGCAATACTTGCGAGCGCTAAGGCTATAGTTTCCTTTCCTCTCCAAATTTTTGTTCGAAATTCTACGCGATCTAACAAGCGAAACGTAAATAGGATTTTTCCGTTTTGTATCCGCAATACTTATGTCAACATCGTTGCTCACAAACTTTTGCGATGCAAATTCATCGGAGAAATAAACAACATCATCATTATCATGTCCCAAAGATCGCCCTCCCATATATCAATCCCTCCCACGGTTGGCATGCTTAACCACGGCAGCGCCTCCCAATTTGTGGGCATTAAATTCTGGCTTCGGAACGAGATGTGGCCTTGGTAAGTTCGAAGTTATTTCCCATCGTTTTCGATGCCCTGATTTTGTCTAAAAATTTACATTTTCACATATTTACGGTGGCAGCTGCCGGCTAGTGAACAGCCACCCAAAAGTCATCCAAGACTATTTTGGGTGTTGGATGACTATTTTTATTGGGGACTATTTTTTCGCTGCCAGTCGGCTATAAGAGGCTCTTCATCCATCA